CGATGCCTACGATTATATCTCCACCCTTCAAGAACGTAACCTGCATAAGACGATGTAGATCTGAATTGGATGCTATACAATTAAAGGGCAAGAGAACTCTTATCTCATAGTTTTTCGGATGAATCACATGAATGTGAGGATGCAACTTAATTGTGAGGAGATTTAGGTCCTCTGCTCATTGCAGATGGTCCAATTACCTCTAATCTTTTACTAGCTACTTCAATTTCGAAGGATAAAATTAGGACCGTACAATTTCAACTATCATAATAATTATTGTCATAGTAGTAGTTTAGTTTAAACTAGACAATAAAATTAGGTCCCAGCATGTCCTGACCTTATCCCTTAAAGTTAAACTAGACAATAAAATTTTGGGGTAATTGGATGCATGTGGGGATATCATGTTATAGCAAGAAAAAATTTGCTCAATATGAGAAGACCAATTGAGACACGCACCTGAGCCATCATCAACAAGCACGGAGGCAGAGACGAGTCAACCGTAGGCACCAACGCCTGCCTCATCTCCTGCGACGGAGCAAAGCCCCCGAACTCCTCCACACTCGATTCCAACCTCACCACCGTGAACAAAACACCCTCTCCATTACAGTTGATCTCAGCTCGACCATCCTCGCCGACCTCAAGACGACCAGCCAACGGATAATACGGAACCAGAGCCTTGCTCAGCGCCGCCTTCAGCGTCTCGACGTCGGTCGAAAGGCCGGTCGGCCGGTAGTGATAGATTGTAGGCACGTGGCCTCTTCCGACGTGGGTTGTGTCAAAATTGGAGAGCCAGACTCTGTGCTTTGGTGTCTCCACGCTAGGAACTACCATGCCAGACTCTATCACTTCCATTTTACTTCTTGTTGATAGGGTTTTTGGAAGAATGTACTAATTAATGTTTGAATGTTGAAATTGTAAGTTTGGGGATGGTTTTTATAGAATGGGTAAGGAGGAGGTATCTGGTCTAATTATGCTCTCGGTAAGTTTTCACGACGATGGGTTGGTGTAGCCTGAAGCTGTCACTTCCCCCACCGAATCCTCCTTGTTGAAATTTTCTGTTTTCAAAGACGTTACTTTGGTTCTTAAAAGTCTTTTGCTGAGTCAATTTAAAACAGTAGCAACTTCACGTGTCTACGAAGAGGGTAAATTCAAAACAATGACCTGCGCGTTGATAGTTTTACCACTGGGAGAAATTTTTTAAAATAAACTCAATCCTAACATTTATCCCAAAATTCAACCCATTACAAACTTTATTATAGAAATCAACCCACTTTCCGGCCGCGTCAGCATCGTGGCCAGAAACTAGGTTGTTTTAACAAAAATCGAGTTGCAAATTAGTCAGGGTTGGCAACCCCGACTAATTAGAAGCTCTGCCGACTAATTAGAAGCTCTGCTAATCACGTTCATGATTAGCAAAGCTAAAACAGTCGGAGTTGCGAACCTCGTTCATTTGGCAGAAACTCTCCAGCCATCCCTCACCTCGTGGAGGCTAAGGGAATGAAATGGTCGGGGTTCCTAACCCTGATCATTTGACAAAGACCATCCAGCGCACATATTTGCTAGAAAATCTCCTCTCCTTCCACACATATATCAATCCTCGACCAAAATTATTGGGTTTAATACAAACTCTCCTGCTGCACATATATCAATCCATAATCAATTTCAATCACAAATAAAGACATATCTTTATATCTATATTACATCTATAACTAATTTCAAACACAAACAAACACGCAATTGACTTGCTAAAATTCCAATCATAAACATGTAGTCCAACTAGCATTTCAAACATAAACAACATAAAACAAGCATTATCGAAATTTAGCAAATATTTAGAACTCTCTTTCCTCTGGCTCTCCCTCTCACTCTCCCTCTTCTTCCTCTGCCTCTTCTCCATTCCCCTTCAACATGACCTTGGATGATCTCATCGCCCGGTTGTGAGTGAATTTCTAAACGCATTACATCCTCCTCGACTTGAACCTACTATGAACATCTGGCTTGAGCCTACTGTGAACATTTGGCTTCATCATGTGCACGACTTGAGTGTTGGTTTCGAGAGTGTAGACCCAAACCTGAATCAAAATCAACAATTCTGAAAAACTCAACATCCGTCGACCGACACACATGGATCGGTCGACCAAATCGAATGTACAAAACAGAGCAGAAACCCCGCTCTGGTCGATGGACCGAAGCAATGGCCTCGTTCGACCGAAAACGTGCACAAGAAACCCTGTAGAAAACAGAGTTCTGAACTATTGACTAAAGCAATACTATCAGTCAACCGATGGTGATCAACCAGTTGACCGATGCAATGCTATCGGTCAACCGAAATCGGGCCAGATGGTTTCCTGGTTCGGGTTGGAATCTAGTTTTGGGCTGTGTATATATATGTTTCCTAAAACGTTTTTAGGGTTATGTGAGGTCGTTTTTGAGAGGGTTTTAACGGCACTTTGAGATCAGAGATCTTAGAGAGAGAGAGAGGCCTATTCCGAGCATTGTAATTTTCTTCAATTAATCAAAGAATTTCTGGTGTGGCTCCCGAGGACGTAAGCGCGTTTGCTGAACCTCATTAAATCTGGTGGTTTCTTCTTTTGTTCATTCTTTCATGCAAGTTTTCTTTTATTTGCTGTGATCTCTTGCTTTCCTACTTTTGACACAAGATCCGAAAGGGCACGGATTGTCGTGTGTTCAACCCTAACAACTATCAGAGCTTCGTTCAGCAAAGTTTTTGTGTGAAAGAGATGGCAGAAGAAAGAAAATCAAAGATCGAGAAGTTTGACGAATCAGACTTCGCCTACTGGAAGTCACAGATGGAGGACTATCTATACCAGAAGGATCTTTATCATCCGTTGATGGGAATAGCTAAAGGAAAGAAGAAAGATGAATCAGACAAGAACTGGGAAATACTGGATCGAAAGGATCTAGGGCAAATTCGGTTGTCACTCGCCAAATCAGTCACCCACAATATATTGAAGGAGAAGTTGATGGTGGGCTTATGGAAGCGCTCGCGAAGATGTACGAGCATCCGTCAGCCGCAAACAAGGTGCATCTCGTCGAGACACTCTTCAACCTCAAGATGGCAAAAGGGTATTCCTTCATGTTGCATCTCAGCAAGTTCAACACGAATATTGATCAACTTATCTCAGTCGACATCACGTTTGATGATGAAGTACATGCCCTATTGATTCTATAGCAGTTACTGGATAATTGGGTAGGTTGCATGACCATAATTAGTAACTCGGCGGGGAAGGAAACGTTAAAGCTGAACAACGTTGTATGATTCTATCCGAGGAGGTTAGAAGAAAATCATCTGAATCAGAAGGTTCAGGTTTAGCCCTAAATCTTGAGCAGAGAGGCCGAAATCAGAAGAAGGGTAATAAGAATAAGAATCGGTCAAAGTTGAAGAAGAAGAGGTCGAACACGAAGGTTAGGCCTATCAAAATAAAGTGTTGGAACTGCGGCTAGGAGGGTCATATGTCTTCAGTCTGCAAAGCGCCAAAGAAGGATATGAATGAGCAGGAGGCTCATATCATGGAAGATGCCTTGAACCTTGCTATGGACAGCGATTCCGACTCATGGGTTATTAATTCAAGAGCCTCATTTCACACCACTATTAATAGAAAGCTTCTTCAAAACTATGTAGCAAAGACTTTGGGAAAGTATACTTGGGGGACAACGAGCCTTGCAGTACTGTTGGAAGAGGAGACGTGCAGATTCAGATGAAAGACTCTAAGTGGAATCTGAAGAACGTCAGACACGTATTAAAACTGAAGAGGAATCTTATTTCGATGGGCCATCTTGGAGAAAAAGGCTATGTTTTAATATTCATCGGGGATTTGTGGAAGATCTTCAATGGTACTATAGTGGTTGCCCGCGGTAACAAAACATGAACTCTCTACCTTACTTCATATACGAGTGACACCCTCGCAATTGCAGCTGGCAAGGAGAGTGTAAATCTGTGGCACAATAGTCTAGGACACATGAGTAAGAAGGGTATGAAGATTCTATACTCATAGGGAAAGCTAAACAGCATCGATTCAGTTAAAGTTGGTATTTGCAAGGATTACATCTACGTGATCAGAAGAGGGTCAGCTTTAAGAAGAGTGGAAGACCACCCAAAGATCAGAAGCTAAAATTTGTTTATACATACGTTTGGGGTCCGACTAGCGTGTCTTCTCTTGGCAGTTCGGCATACTATGTCACCTTTATCGACGATCACTCGAGGAAGGTATGGGTATACTTCATGAAGTACAAGTCAGAGGTATTCGGGATATTCATGAAGCGGAAAGTCATGGTAGAGAACGATACAAATCTAAAAATGAAGTGTCTGGGATTGAACAATAGTGGAGAATACGAGCTGGAGGAGTTTAAGAAGTTCTGTAGCCTGAACATGATTCATTTAGAGAGGACTACTCTAGGGATACCATAACAGAATGGCATTACAGAGAGAATGAGCAGAATATTGACAGAGCGTGCGAGGAGCATGCGTCTACATGCAGGTCTACCTAAGATGTTTTTGGACGGACGCGATGCATACAACAGCTTACTTAATAAATTATGGGACTTCAGTTCCATTAGATTTTGGGATTCCAGAAGAGGTTTGGAGTGGTAAGAAGGTTAATCTCTCACACTTGAGAGACTTTGGTTATGTAGCATATGTTCATATCAGTGACCATGTCAGGGATAAGTTAGAAGCTAAGTTACAGAAGTATACATTCATTGGATATGTCATTGATGAGTTCAGATATCGTCTTTGGGATGAGAAGAATAGGAAAATCATCAGGAGCCAAGACGTCATGTTCAATGAAGATGTGATGTACAAGGATAGGGACAATGCAAAGGATAACCAAAATAGTGTGAGCAGCACTAAGGATACAGATGGATCCGAGTACATAGATTTAGAGGAACTCCAGATAGGGGAGACAATGTTAGTTCTGACCGAAGAACGGAGGAGACTCCGGGTGCAGAGATTACTACCTAGGGCGTGGAGCTTAGGAGGTCATCTAGAGTACCTAAACCATATCTCAGGTATCTTTCGTCACTGGATTATTTACTTTTGACAGATACTGAATAACCAGAGTGTTATGAGGAGGCAATGCAAGTTAGTGAATCTCAGCAGTGGGAGTAGGCGATACAAGAAGAGATAGATTCTATCCACTCGAATAAGACATAGGAGTTAGCCCAGGTACCTGCAAAAAAGAAAGTCTTACATAACAAGTGGGTCTACCGGATCAACCAGGAGAGTGATGGAAGCAAGAAGTATAAGGTCAGATTAGTTCTGAAAGGGTTCCAACAGAAGAAAGGAGCGGATTATATGGAGATATTTTCTCCTGTCGTGAAGCTTATAACTATTAGAGTGGTGTTGAGCTTAGTAGCTGCTGAAAAGCTCTACCTTGAACAGTTGGATGTGAAGACTACTTTTCTTCATGGTGACTTGGATGAAAAAATCTACATGAAGCAACATGTTGGCTTCATAAAGGATGAAAAAAAAGAAATGGTGTGTAGGTTCAAGAAGCGCTTATACGGTTTGAAACAGTCTCCAAGATAGTAGTACAAGAAGTTCAATAACTTCATACAGAATAATGGCTATGGAAGATGCAATTCAGATCATTATTGTTACTTCAAGAGATTCGAGTCTAGCTATATCATATTATTATTGTATGTTGATGACATATTAGTTGCAGGATCGTGTTTAGAAGAGATAAACAAATTGAAGAAGTAGTTGGCGAAGGGGTTTACTATGAAGAATCTGGGTGTAGTGAAGTAGGTTCTTAGGATGTGAATCAGTCAGGATGTGACTGAAAGGACATTGAGGTTGAGTCAGGCTGAATATATCGAGAAAGTATTTTAGAGATTCAACATGGAGAATGCTAAGCCTGTTGGCGCGCCTCTTGAAAGTCAATTCAAGTTATATGAGGAGCAATCACCCAAGGCAGATGCAGAGAAAGAGCACATGAGCAGAGTGCCATATTCATCATCCATTAGTAGTCTTATGTACACGATGGTTTGCACGATGTCAGATATCGCCCA